TTTCATGGAAGGTATTCTGTTTTACGATTTCATACGTTGCTAAAAAGTTAAAAACTTTCAGCATAACAACCGAACCTGTTTAGTTTCAATTATCAATAATGCATCAACCAGTGTTACCTGCTTTTATTTATTTTTTTTGTAAAAAATTATCTTTCGTTGAATGTTACATAATATCACACACACCGTTATGACGTTGTCTAAATCAAAATTTTCACTAACAGCAATTAACTGGTGGTAATCATAAAAATGTTTAACGCACCCACCCACAGCAAACTCTTCCACGTCAGGTGCGTCACGCCAAGTGACGTCATCAGGGCTGAAGCGAAAGACATTCCTAAAATATTTCAAGTATGTCGTGTCGTGTTAGTGTGCGTTACGTTACGCTGTCATGTCACATTGTTCTAAAAAAAATGGTTCTTAGCAGAATGAGAATATATCTAGTACAACTTCATTAAAAATAATGAAGGCTTCTTCTGTGCGGTGACCGCTCTGGAAGGTTGTCGTGAAGGTGATGAACGAGGTTGTAAGAAGCTATCTAAAAAATCAAAACTATACGCCAAAAGATCAAAGATCGGATTAAGAAAATTGGAACTCCTTAAATATGTTCGGAAACATAATGTCGGATAACATGAACTGCGTTATGTTATGTGGATGGGGAAGAGGAACTAAAACGAAAAATGTTAAAAGTCCTGTCAAGAAGAGTTGGATGATTTCACAGAACGAACTGATATGAAAGAGAAAAAGGAATTTTCAGAAGCACCAAAAAAAGTTTCAATATTTAATTAGGGTATCATTGATTGATAGGTTGATCGATCCATATTGTTGTATGTTAAATGTTTATATTTATATTAGATGCATGTTGCAATTGAGTAGATGTTTTTATTGTTAATTCGTTGCTACATCAGTTGTACACTACACAATTCATTCAGAACAGGATTGAATGTATTGCTGGATTTGGACGTTATATTACGTTATTATTGATTTTGAAGTTGCAGTGTAGCACCTCCATCCATCCGAACATTATATTAAACGTTAAACAAACAACCGGCAGATATTATACGCAACAGAAGGTGAAGCAAAGAAGGTAGAAGAGAGAGAAGTGGAAAGTTTCTATGTGCCTGGACAGGAAATCATCCAATACAAAGGTTCGTTTGTCATCCATCTGGACCATTTGTGGCGTTGTAAACATCTCCTTATTGTCCGAAGATTGTTTGTCTCTTGTAGAGCATAATGAATAAGTTATGAAACGTAGTGCATCAATGTATGGTTTAGGATTTGTTGGTGTATATTTACTGCACCTACTTGCTATTTATTTTTCCTTATTTCTTTTTTGATTAAATATTTATGATAATTCTGATGGACTATGAGAAAAATCAAACGTTAGAATCAATTGTTGTAACTCAATCGATGCACTGAAATTGATGGGAGGAGACGTTTCAGTGAGAGACTTTTGACGTGATGACAAAAATAATTAGACTGATGCGCTGAATCTTAGCAGACAAGCATTCGATTGTGTGGACTGACTTGATGTCATACTTCATAACCTTTGTAGGACACGAGTTTGTGGACATAAGCTTCCGAGCACCAACGACGTGTGATTCCTGCAACAAATCTCTTTCAAGCTTGCTGCACCCCCCACCTGCTCTTGAATGCAAAAGTTCGTCTTCATCAACCATCACTTCTGGGCTAATTTTTTTTACTCAACTTCTATTCACTAAATAAATTATTATCGACAATTTTGCATGAATTTACATTGTTTTTTGTTGAAATGAAATTTTTGTGTGGCAAATATGAAATAAAGTCTCATTGATTATTTCAAGGATGCCGAACGAAGGTGCACCGAGAACATTACGACAAAAATGAGGAGTTTGTTGGCGTTTGCAAAGGTAGTCTCTCCTTTAAAATACTTTCTCGATCATTTTCAGTTTTTTTTTTAAATTTGGGGTATTTCCAGAATTATTAACACTTCGATAAATCACTCAGTCTTTGGTTGAACCTTCAGAAGTTAATCTGTTTATTATTGGGCTTGTTTAACTGCAGACTGTTACCAAACGTTTATCAATCTAGAGATCTCTCTATCTTTACACAATAACTTAACAGCTAATAATCCACTGTGTAATGTAATGAAGATCTGTAGTTTGTAATGTGATATAACACGGTAATTAGTGAGCGTGCAATAAGCAAACAGTAACATGCCCGTCTATTTAACGTTGTAGCATACAAATTTTTATCATTTGAACTTTTCATCGCAGTTTTTTCTGTTTTTTAATGAGTTTTTTTAAAAAAATGTTCACAATTAGATTTTTGTAAGTAAGTTATGCAATGTAATCTCACAGAGCAACTACCTCCCTCCGTTTTCCCCTCCCCACATGAACCTCCAACGTTTTATGCTTGGAATGGGGATAGGATAAAAAATTTATTTCCTATAATTCTATAAATAAATATATAAATCATCACTGCAGTACTCACTAAATTGCTATTCGTTTATTCGCATCATCGTCATCATTGGCACCATCTTTGTCGTTGTTGTCAGTTCACTACCATCATCATCGCTTCCATCATCATCATCACCATCATCAGTAAACGTGGATGCGCACTCGGTGAAGGAGATATTCCTGATGGCGGGAAACAAAGAAGAGCAGAAGGAATGGGTGCAGAAGCTTGCAAGGAAGGTTGCTGAGATGGGCATCGTGTCTACAGGGGGATGTTCCGTCGACAGAGACCGATCTTCATTAGGGTTGGTTGGTTGTTGATTTGTTGGTCTGTCTGTTGGTTAATTGGTTAGTTGATCGGGATCGGTCGGCTAGTCAAAGTCGGTCGGTTGGCTGGCTTGCTGATTGGCCTGCTTGTTGGTTGGCTCTTGTTGACCGGCTGTTGTCCAGTTGAAATGATTTGATGAACATTTTTAATTTGTTTATTGATCATTAAATTTTGTAAACCGAATGGATCTATTCCTCTTTTCTATGATAAACAATTGGCATGCTCAAAATAATTATATCAATTGGCGTTATAAATCTGTAAATCTACGTCCCGTTAATCTTACCTCTGAATTTCTCGGCCACCCATTCATGAAAGAACGTTTGCAAGTATCCGCCGGGACTTTCGTTTTTTTTTTTTCGTTTTTTTTTCGTTTCATTTTTTAATTAATTCGAAATATTTTAACTGAATTTTTGCTAATTTTAATTTATTCTCTAACACCATTTAGCTTTAAAATTGATAACATCAACAATAATAACAATAAATGATGTTATTTTCGTAGTAATAAATAATTAAAAGATGTTATATTGTTCTGCCAGTTCAATGAAAAGTATGAAGAAGAAGGCGTGAACTCCGGACGGCCATCTACGTACATCATTTCTGTAAATTCCATTTGTAAAAGTTTACCATGCTTTTTTGCTCGTTCACAAATTACATGTAACATATATATATATATATGTATAGAGAATTATCATACATATAACAATTTATTGAATATATATACATATATATATATTGTATTTGTAGTTATATGTATGTCAGAATATATACATTTACGTATATGTGTGTATATTAGTTGATATATACAAGTGTGTTTTTAACGATAAATTCATGAGTCATAATTACGCTGAAATTTCGCAATAATAATTTCATCCAACACATTTTCTCTGTTCAATTTTTTTTTAGTTATTTAGACTTTTATATTATTTTATACTTGATAGCACATTATTTAACTCTAAATGCTATTGAAAATTAATCTGTGTTAACGTTGAAGTGTATTTACTTTCATGTAATAACGGCAGTATATATTTTTATCAACTTATTATATGATATTAGCATATAATGATTTAGTAACGCTCTAGCATACTTGTGAGATGCTGCATCAATTGAGACTGGCAGACGAGTTGAAGAATCACTTCGTTGTCTACTTATCTTATTTATATATCATCGGGTTGACGGTTCTTCAGAGTTTTGTTTTTAAATTCTCTCTTAAGCTTTTTGTTTCTCAGATTTTTTTTTGATCAAATTTATTATTTTATTTATTTCATGTCGAACAAAATTCTATACAAAAATGGATTAGCAACACAAAGCATTCGTGAAGTGTATATATGTACGCATACGTTTATTTATATATATATATATTTCTATATATATAACAGTTTCATTGTTTTCATGATGAACTTAGATAATAATTCTATTTACAATTTCCAGAAAATTCTGGTAAAAAAATTAAAAAGACAAACTTTAAATTGATTAATGCCAACAATTCGGTGGAATTCATACAATACTATATATATATATACCTATATATATATATGTTGGTAATAGACCATAATTTATATATATATATATAAATTCATAAGTAATATATATATATATACGTATGTGTATATATTATATATAATGTGAGATAACGATTATGACTTATTTAATTTTTATACATTCTTTTTTTGAATACTAAAGTTTTAAATTAGACATTTGATTTTGTCTCTGCCGTCCTTTGAAATAGTTTGCACCAAAACTCCGACTTGAACTCTCAAGCAATGTCAATTTCATTCGGTGCTTGCTACAGTTTCATCTTTCTTCAATCAAACTTTTGGACGGCTTTTTAATTTTTTTGATAATAAATCATTGAAAAATTGACTTTGAATTGTTGGACTGTTTAAATTTAAAATATTAAAAAAATTATAGATTTTAAACTTTATTAACTTGAGAAGAATTTAATTTGAAGAAAAACAATCCTGTTAAACAATCCCAAAATGATCCTCATCTTCAACTACCTATCACCACACGCTGGCCGTCATTTTCATGTTTCTGAAACTTAAGCTATTTTCGATTTGTTTACCATGGTTAATGGTAAGCGCACTGATTATGTTCTTTTTGATTTTCAATAATGGGATGTTTGTCAAATCAGCTCTTTTTGTATGTTTTTCTAATGCACGTTTAATCCAGCGTTTATTTATTTTTGAAGTTAAAGTTAAGCACTGTATAGTTTTCTAGTTATATTGTACGAGCGAAGCACAAGCTTGTAATAAAATTATTTATAAAAGTTGAAAAAATTGAGAATGCTTCTAAAAACTTGTGTCAGTTCAAATGCCGAAGTTGACCAGAAAGAAAATTTATGAAATAAAACGCTGTCCCGAACCATTTAAGAAATGCGTTTAGAAATTTTAAAAGCAAAATAAAGCCTAATGTATAAAAATTAATTTAAAAAATGGAACCGAAAACTCGAAAAATTAATTTAGGATAATTTCAAGGATCAAAATTTTATTCCATAAGTCTTATGTCGTTTACTTAACTTTCTTTGCGTGTTTGTTGTGCAGTTCCGGTACAGATTGCAGCGTTCGCTCGATGGCGTCCTCCAGCTTGACTACGGGGCTGTAGTTGAATTCTGACGCTGCTTTCTCGCAGCTATAATAATGATGCGTGCCCGCCAACGCTACCGTCATGGTGGTTAATGTTGGCCTTATCGTCTTAAATGGACTAACTATGAAAACAAAAATTTGTACTAGAAAAGCTAGAAAATAGATGAAATAATACGGCAAATGATATTTCGGCGCCGCGTATCCAAGGCCTTTGAGTAGTCGAGACATGAATTCCCAGAATAAAATAGGTTCGTTGTTCGTTATGTTGTATGCCTGTAAAATCAAGAATATAATTTTTAACAAATTAATTTATATGAATTAAAAGTTTCAAGTAATTGGTCCATAGAATGTTTGTGGTTTAACGTGGTATCGCGTCGTACATTTTTTTGTTTGAAATAGAAAATTGTAAAAGAATATCTCATGGAATAACACACAACAATTGAAACAACAGGGCGGCGTGATAGCCTAGTGGCTAAGGTCGTCTGTTGTGTTTCTGATCCCCGCTTATCACATGCTTTGTGTGTGATGCGTCGTTTAGCATACATTCATATACGATGTTTGTGCGTATTGTTGAATCCTCTGAACTTTGGAAGAGTGTAAATGACCTTTAACCTTTTAAATGAGTTTGCCTGATTGTTGATTCACTTTGTCTGATTGTTGGCTTGGAAGCGTTTGCGTCATTACACCTTATTTATTAGCTCTTGCTTATCAGCCGAACCTTAACTGGTAGGACCCCATTATTGCACGATTTATAATGGATATTAAATCCCAGTCAAGTTTAAAATAGGGCGAATATATATGGGTATATGTTACAAAAATTATTTAATTTTTGACGTGTTTTGCAATAACAAATGCTATAAGTTGGCATGAATTTAAATTTTTAATAAATACAACGAAAAAATATCGACAAACATTTCCCGCAATTTCTGGTTTTTGTTGGAGTTGTTGAGCGGCAAGAACATGAGCATATACGACATTATCTATGTAGGTGAAGTCCACTTTGTTTATCCCTTTCCTGGAAAGGACAATGCGAAATTCAACATGCAACATTCGACATCAAACATGCACATTCAGCTCTTATTTATTATCCAATACTGCCATCAAATTGATTTCGTTTTGAAGTCCAGTTTTCCATGAAAACTGTTTTTACACGTCTCCTATATAATGTAAAATTCTTAAATATTTTTTACGGGTGTTTCTTCAAGTTATCACTATTTATTTTAATATTTACATATGCAACTATAGAAATCATACATAAATGTATACCCTATTATAAATTTTGTTTTTCCGGCAGCGGCCAATCTTGCGGTGGTGGGTAGCATGTGTGGGTCTCTGGGTCCAAATATGCCGTGCGGTCTCAACGCTATCGTTTTCAAGCTTTCACTGTTGGCACTCAGAACCAGCTAAATGTGTTCAGTAAAAAATTTTGTTCCTTGATAACAAAAATTTACTTCCAGAGTGCAAAATTGTCAAACCTTTTCTTGTTGTATCTTAGTTTGCGTATAGCAATCTAAGGGCCTTTTGGCATAGGGCAACGTTTCGTCGCCATGTTCGATATTTGAACCGGAGTACACCACACTGGCACTACTTGTTAGAATCAGATTCTTTAAAAATATTTTATTGATATATTTTAAGACAGAGAAATCCAGATAACAGATATAATGCGCATTGACGATTTGAAAATTTTTTTATAACGAACTTTAACTCCCTTTTCAAAACATGCATCCAAGACATTTTTCGTTCCGTCGACGTTTACTCTTAAGAATACCTTAAGCAGTTCAGACAAAGTAAATACAGAAAATAAATTGTTTTCTTAATAAGGCTTAGCAGCACAACAGTACGATTTATGATTTCGACATACCTTTTTGTTGTTACTAAGAGGTGACGGTGTGGCGCAATGAAATACAGTATCCACATTGTCCATGCATTTCAACAAGTCCTGTTAATGTTATTCAGAACGCTTCTTAAAGGATAACAATTTCATTAATATTTTACCGCCTGATGCTCCTTACATTGCGTTTAATTGATTGATGTCAATGAAATGATTAAAAACGTTTGTAATAGTAAAATAATGTATTTTATCATAGCTTGCTAATCGTTTGAATCTAATGAACCCTCAACTAGGCTACAATCGATAGTACATTTTGTTGAACTTGAATGCACGCGACTGTAATGATTTGCTATTTATTTACACTACATACGATTTATTGAGTTATAAAATACTCTGCTAATCTAAAATGCCTAAATCTATCGTGTTAAAAGCGTTAATGGGCTTTTATGAATGATCGTTTCGTTATAAAAGGAAACTTAACAGGTTGTCTTGTAACAAAATCTCTTGTTTGGCAAGCAATAGTCTCTATTCTATCTTTCAAGTTTTTATCGGTTTTAACGATTTCAATAACATAACAAGGTTTAGAGTAGTTCAGTAGACTAGTGTCTGTCTGAGAACCGCTGCTAATTAATTGTACAAGGTTGATCTTAAAACTGTTTGTTGATTCTACGGAAACCATTTCGTCATTCGCTTTTCCAGATGTTTATCACCCTGCTGCTAAAAATCTGTGCATGATTTGACCATCCGTTTTCTTAAAAAGCATGCATCTATGACCTTGTATTCTTTTTCTAGTCTCCATTTGGAAGAATCTGGTAAACAACGCATCCTCTTTTCCGGTAATCAATTTGTGTGTCTGTACCATATTTCCTCTTCATCTTCTTCTCTTTAGACATATTCTTAATCTATCTTCGTACTGATGTTTTCTAAGACCTTTGATCATCTTTGTTGCTCTTCGATGTACCTTCTCCAGAATGTTTTTATTTTTTTGCAAATTTGGACTCCACATCTGAACACAGCATTCCATATGGGGGCGAACTAAAGTTTTATACAAATTTATAATTATCGACTTCTCCCTGCTTACCATGTTTTTCAAATAAATCCAACTATCCTTTTCTTCCTCCTTGATCGTAGCTCCTGATTGTCCAATTGATATTGAAAGCCCATGTTTTTTCCTCACATTGCTTTACATTTATCTATATTGAAAAACATTTGCCAATCTTCAGACCACTTGTACAATCTTGTCATATCCTGTCTTAACGATTTCACGCATTTTCCTCATTTTTCGATGTTGTTAGATTTTGTAGTAACTTACAGTTTGAACTATTAGATGAGACTCGCATCAAAACTTTCATTTGATAATTTTTACTGTAAGGACGCGAGATTTAAGAAGCTTGTGACAAGCGACAAGAATGCGTTAATAATGATAAAAAAAATATTTTTATGTTTTTACGCTGACTGGAAATGGAAGTTTATATATAATTGATTTTAACCTGTTTGTTGCACAAATCTCCGTTATAGAAAGTCACTTTTTCGTGTTCGAAGGTTGTTCGCAAGTCAAAAACTCTAACGGTGTAACCGAGACTGCACAACTTCTCGACCAAATGTCTACCCACGAAACCGCTTCCTCCGATCACTAAAACAATTTTGGAATCTGGCTGGATTGTGTTTCAATTATTATTTCAAATATTCTGTGTAATGTTACGAATATTTTTTATGTTGTTAATAATATTCTGTTGTGATTATTTTTTGTGTTGTTAATAATATTCTGTCAGTGATTCAAGCGACATGACGAACGAACATGCACAGAAACCCAATTTGCATACAAACCATCGTAAAAACATGTACAAAAACACTGAAGCGAGCACACCTGTTTAGATAAATCGATTGACAATCAATACCATAAAACTTTGAAATGAGTCAGAGAATTGTGCAGCAAAACAAACAGCTATAAGATGCATAACGCTACGCGTGCATACTGTATAATGTATATAAACTAAAGATAACTGTTTTATTTCAACAAACACGTATTGCTCAATGCTTAATGATAACGTACAGAACATATATTAAATAACCGTAGAGTCGCAGTTTAAATATTACCTCGTTATTGAAAATGTTGTTAAAATGAAGATTTGAAAAATAATTAATTTACGAATTAGTGCGAATGGTTCGTGTTTCGACGGTATATGATTGATTGACAGAATAAAAAACTATCCTGTACTCAAATTTCAATGATAAAATAAATTGAATTAACAATCACGTTTGACTGCACGCATTCCATAGTAATAGATGTTGTTGGTGCGATGTAAACTTGCAAAGATAAAAAGTGTGTGAACAATGAATAACTCACCTTTATTGCTTTAACCGACATTTTGTGCAATAATTTCCAATAACAATCAATCAATAAAATAACACCTTTTTAGTATTCTTTTTTATTGTATAAACTAAAAAACAACGGAAAATATTTTGCCTGAAATAATATCGAAAACGAGTAAACAGTGCGATAGTTTCAAAATGTGTTATATATTTTCTATCTTCATCTCCCGGGACGAAACAGCTGATGAAGTTGTGATGCATGCATGCATATTAGATGAGACACGTTTCATAAAAAGGTGGCGGCACATGTTACGCGATCTCAACGTCCAATCAGATCGCTTGTGTACTTTTATCGTCGGCGATGGTCCGGCTAAGACATGTTCATTTATTTGTATAATGTTCAGTTTTCGATAAATATTTATCTACGGATTAGGGTGATATTTTATCTATGGATGGAAAATAAATGTGATTTTGATTAAAAACTTCTCATAACCTTCTGCACTAGAATGTGACAGTGCGTGCAGTTTCATGTGCCATTCACTCATTCATTTATTCATTCATTTATACATTCATTCATTTATTATGTTTAATTTAATTTGGTCATAAAAACACATTACGACATTTTACGAAATTCTTTCCAACGATTTCAAATATTCAGATATTAAACCATTAAAGTTGATCTTATATAAAACTAACCATTTAATCAGTAAAAATTAAAATTATAGTTAATAAATTTATTTTTGAAAAATGTAAAATAAGAATTAAATGTACATTTCGTATAAAAAAATTATTTTTCAAATCAAAAAACGGATCAAAATAGGAATATTTGGAAGAAATAAAAACGACGTTGAAGAAAATATGAACAATAAAACTGAAGATCGTAAGCTAGTGGAGCTAGTAGTATACTTGTGGAGCGTAAGACATGGATCGCCTAAATTTATTCCTCTGAGGCACAGAGACACTAATTTCGTAGGCACTGTTGGCAGTGCAGTAGATGTCGATGTTATTTCCTTTGTAGACGGGCACCTCTTCGGCATTGGTTGATCTTCGCGAGGACTCAATTTTCGGGGCATTTCTACGACGCAGTATAACTGGCGGCTGGTTGAATGTGATTGGCTGGTAGCCTGTGACCGCATCGTAGCTGTACACCTGCTGGGGTTGAGGGTTTTTCATCGGTTGGTACTGGAGGACTGATTCTTTGTAATCTGTGATTGGTTTGTAGTCCTGAATAGGAACTGTGTAATGACTTGTTATAGGCTGGTAGCACGGAAATGCCGGCTCGTAGTTTTTGAAATAGCTCATGCTACGTCGGTGACTCGCCAAATCGTCATAGTGCGTTTTAGTTATATCAATTGTTGGATCGTTGGGCTGTTCGAAATTTCTTCTGACTGCTTTGATTGGCTGCATATATTTAGAAATGAGCTCGCGGTTGCTTGGCAGACTTTTGTATTCAATCTCGCTATCATCATTCGTCAGAAAGTCATTTGAGTCGTCATTTGCGTTCGCGTTTGACATTACTGTTAAATTCAAATTATCTCTGTTCTCAAATAATGCAGTATCGATGATACTATTTTTGGAGCGACATCTTTCGATGAAAGTGTCAATATCTTCTTCTTGTTTTCTTTCGCATGAATGGGTTCTAGGCTTGTTTAAAATTTTTTTTCGTATAAACTTACGTAGGTCATCTCCATCGTCATTTTCGTTCAAGTCATCCAACAGGCTATGTTTCTTAGCAAATTTGACCAGACGACGTTGAAAACCTCTGTTCGAAAGCAAAACTCTTCTTTTACTTTTTATGGTTTTGACGGCTTTCAAGAGAGGCATGTTACCTCGAAGCATCAGATAGGCAATGCACATAGCACCACTCCGGTTGATACCCAGAGCACAGTGCACCAGCACTACACCACCTCTCTGACGAGCCTGAAATCAGAACAATTTTACCATCTATAGTGAAATTGTGAATCATCAAATATGCCATTTTTGTGGAGTGAAATAAAAATATTAAATCAGTTAGATTATGCAACTAATAAAATTGAATTGTAAAAAGAATTATTGATAATTATATTGCAGAATTAACGTGAATTTCAAGATTAACCCTGTCGATAAAGCTGAAGCCCTCGCTGAAATGTTTTGTGATGTCGTATTCATCATGATCATCCGCTTGAAATTCTAAATATTCGATACCAACCTCCTCGTACGGTGACCCTTCGTATGACCTTTGACCTTTGAACCCCGCACAGTTTAAAACATGTGTCACTCGAATTTTCTCTAACGTCGGCCAGGTCTCTGCGTTTCTTTGGCTACCTACAATTTGATATTCAAAATAATCTTTTTGTTATTCAATTAGTCAATGTTCGTAAGGATGGAAGTTAAAACTCAAGAAAATCAAAGACGATATATATATATATATATATATATATATATATATATATATATATATCTATGTATAAATATAAATAAATAAATATATGTATATTTGTGTGTGTGTATGTGTGCACGCGTGTACGAGATGCGAAGCAAAATGTTAAGTTGTTTTACCAAGGTACAATCTGTCCATGATGAGAGTAGGATCGTTTGGACAGGTGTTCACGCATGGTTCGGCCACTAAGATGGACCTCATAATTTCAACGTAGTCATCATCGGTCAACATCGGGATGCTGTTGCTGCTGCTGTTATCGTCCATGTACATCTTCATCTATCTGCTTATCGAAAACGTTCAATGATTATGTAAATGTCTTTGTCGAAATAACGTTGTTTAGTTTATGCTCTAAACCAGATGCCACCGTGAGCAAATCAACTACTTCGACGAATCAATTATTTTAATTATCACTTCTAGACTAAAACTAATCTAATATGAAAGAAAGTCTTAGTCAGCTGAATAAATTACTAGATCACAATTGTACATGTACATGCATGTTGGCATTAAGCATTAAACGGCAAAGCAAAATATTACTTCGGGGAAGTTAATTGATTCTGATGTGAATAACAAAAACAAGAACATACCAAGAAAGAAGAAGAAAATTATCTGAAACCTCACATCAAATACTTCAAACCGTGCATGCACAACTTATATACATAACAGAACTCCAACTCATTCCAAGACGATTCCTCCTGGAATGCACATCAATCGACTTGTGAAAAGAAAATCTATTATTAGTTATAAAAACATTTATGACTACCATTAAACTTTACATATTTTTTTTATATTTTTAATATTTCCATCTATAAACAGCTGACAAATCTAAAATACATCGTTAATTAACATTATTTGGAGAAATTTGATAAACCAACAAAATAGGAACTATTGAGCAAGAAACAGACGAACGCACCCATTCCTTGATGGCGACCTACTTAACTACTTGACCTACTTTTTCTTCAATATTTTGTTGACTGAATCTCGGGAATATTTACGTTCCAATATGGCCGAAGGGGAAGTCAATGTGGACAACCTGATTCTCCGTCTGCTCGAAGGTTTGACGGCCGGCGTTCATTCTCAGTTCGGACTCTTAATATCATTAATATTAATTTTTATACCGTCTCATTCAATTCAAATAATTAATAAATTAATTAATAATCTTCTAATAATTAATTTTTTTTTATATTTTTTATCATTAAGAAACATTTTTTAAATTTTTAATTAATTGTATGTTATAAATTATTGATTGTATGACTAATTACTAATATTAACGTCGATTCTTTGTTGATTAATTTTAATAATAACTAAATTAATTAAATTATTAAATAATGATAATCATTAATATTAATCACAATAGAATATATTTAAAAAATTTTAAATAAAAATTACTAAGTTAATTATGCTTCAACTTTTCTGTTTCTGAGTCTTCACTTCAGTTTTGTTTTTTTTAGTTTTTTATTTCTAAAAATTTTGTGTTGGAAATGGTAATGGATGCATGCTAATTATTAAAAAATTAAAAATCAAGAATTAAATTAAAATTAAAAGTAAGATTAACTTATTAAATAAACTGATAACAGTAAGGTCTTAGGGTTTTACCATATTTATTTAAAGTTTATTTAATTAATATAAGTTATATGTTATATAACTAGGCATTCTGAAAAATATGATTTTTAAACTTTACAAATTATTTAATATTTGATGAAAGTTAAAAAGGGATTTCAACTAAATAATTTTAAAATTATTTTAAAAATTATTTATCAACATTCTAATAATCAAATTGCAAATCTTAATGAGTAATGACAATTCCCTTTTAAACATTTTATCCACTACACTACTTTAACCTATTCTTACTTTCACAATCAATAAGGCTCTTGCTGAGTTTTTCATTAGATGATACAAAAATTTTCAGTATTATTTTTTGCTTTAGTTTAGGGCTAGGGCATACTTATACTGTACTGTATTTGCTTTGCCATACTAATACTGTTCTAGTACTAGTTCTATTAAAAATTAAAAGTAATGTATGCTAAATAAATAAAAATTTGTTATACTGAATTATTTATTTTATTATTTAAAATTTTTTTGATTTCCATTATTTAATTAAATTTTTATTTATTTAATTAAACTTATTTTAAATTTCAAAGAAACGCCATGTAATAAATTAAAGAATGTGATTAATTTACATTTTACCATACTAATTTCATAGTGTCTCAATAGCATTTTGTTGGTTTTTAAAATTTAAAGTTCAATTTAATAAATGATAACTTTTATTTTTATTTAATAATTAACACCGATAATTCAATGTTATACATTTGTTTAATTTAATAATAGTACGGTTAATCTGTTACATATTTATTTGTGCAACTATTTACATTAATTAAATTAATTTACTTAGTCAGAGGATGTCGTCCGGGCAAAATTGTCCAAATGACAGAGGCAGAAATCAGAGCTCTCTGTCAGAAATCAAGGGAAATATTTCTCAGTCAGTCCATCTTATTAGAGCTGCAAGCACCTGTAAAAATTTGTGGTTAGTTAGATTGCACAGCGTTTCTTGATGGTGTTTGTCATTTTTTACATAAGAAAAATATTAAGAGTGTTTGATATTTAATCATTGTTTTGCATTTCATACATGTATTTTGAGTCATATAATTTACAATGTATAGAATGTACATAAACATAATAACAACAATGAATGTTTGCATTTCTTGCTTATATGTTGGAAGCTAAAATACTTTAATTGAACAGATTAAACAACGATTGTTACTATAATAAATATGTTATATTTTAATATTGCAGGTGATATACATGGCCAATATACTGATCTGTTGCGATTATTCGACTATGGCAGCTACCCTCCCGATGCCAACTATTTGTTTCTTGGAGATTATGTCGACAGAGGCAAGCAGTCACTTGAGACCATCTGCCTCTTACTAGCATATAAAATTAAATATCCTGAAAATTTCTTCCTATTACGTGGAAACCACGAGTGTGCTAGCATCAACCGCATATATGGATTCTACGATGAATGTGGGTGCATTCATGTTCATTTATTGTTGACATTATTTTGCAAACTTTATGAAAAAATATTTAAGGTAAGAGAAGATTCAGTATTAGGCTGTGGAAGACGTTTACGGACTGTTTCAATTGTTTACCAGTGGCTGCCATTGTAGATGAGAAAATATTTTGCTGTCATGGGGGTTGGTTACGCATCCAACGTTTTTAATTTTTAATGAGTGTTTCCTGTTCTTCATAATATGCTGATGGCGTGATATGCGGTTGTGATGTTTTTTTGGTGTTATGTTGGTGACATAAGTTATGGAGGCAGTGAGGGTATTACACTAATGATATGTTAATTGTATACAAATAATATTACATTAATGACTAAGTGGCTATGTAGATGATATATATATTAACACAACGTCTTTGGTCCAGGTCTGTCACCAGATCTTCAATCCATGGAGCAAATTCGTCGCATCATGAGGCCAACAGATGTACCCGACACAGGTTTCGCCTACTACATGTCGTTATTTTGTTATGTTATTGTAACTTATCAAAAAAGTCTCCACCACATCGCAATATCATAGTTAATTTTTATCTATATTTTTCAAAAACAAATCAAACAAAAATCAGTAAAATAAATGCACAAAGTGAAATGACATGGCAACCAAAAGGTAACAGATGCTTGTGACAGGCTACCATTAACCAAATACCAAATTGTAGAAATAGTCGCGAAGTATGTCTTCACTTTGCCCTATGAAAAATTTGTTACAATTCATTCTAATGAAATCTTCCAACTCCTTATCCAGCTGGTGAAACTTGTTATAAACTGTTATAAATATTTTAATATTTTAGATCTTATCACATTGTGCTCGTTGGCTCGTTATTTGTTGTTGGACTCTTCCTTCACAATGAAGCTATTTGTTTATAATTTTTATATTCACTGTGCTGGCTCCATGACTTTTGAATGATGATTCTTCAATAACTGAACAGCCTGTTAATTTTGTTTTAGAAAAATTATATTTGAAATAATAAAGCCAAGCAGCTAACAAACTCTTGGCAAACATATTGTTATAACTGCTGGAATGTTCAAATTGCACTATATAATTGTTATGATTATTTTTTATTAAAAATCATTGTCTTGACTATTTGTTATCTTTGCTATATTTGAAATTTTTGGATTGTAAATTCTATTATAAAGGGGGTTGCGAAGTGAAGGTTTGCAGTCAGGTTACCAGTGAGGTTAGTATTCAAATAGATGTTCAACAGAGTTTGCGTTTGAAGTAGTTGTGTTCATCTATCGGAAATCTTGAACCTATGGAATAACAAACTCTTGACTATTGCTGGAAGCTACAACACTGGTGTTGGAAATATAGAGATTATTGAAGTTACAACATTGGTGTTGGTAGTTATGCAAGGGTTACAACAATACAAATAAAAAAGTTTGAAAAATGTAAGGAGTTCCAGGTGAGAAAACATTCAAATTATTTCTGCTGCTGACTTGGCTAATCATCGATGCAGCTCACATCTTTTATCATGCACACAAGTTCTTCATTTTCAAACTTCATTTTACATTTTTTAATTCGATTAGTTTTTGTTTGACATTTTCCTACATTTTTCACTGTGACTTTAACTATTTTGCATTTTGCTGCATACAGCGATATTGTCTTGACATGTCAGAAGTGTTTATATGTAATTGAATCACTCATTTGTTTTCCTGTGGTTAGTGACATCTTGCTGCAATTGATATTTTTGTTGAATATCAAATGTAATCACAATTTATGTTGAGTGCTCAAGTAACTAAGTCATTGCAATAATGTTGGTATTCAGAAACTAAGTCATTGCAATAATGTTGGTATTCAGAAAGGATTAAAATTGAATCATAAAAATTAGTAGCACCATAGCGATTAATAAATTGTTGTAGTATGCAAATGCCAGAAAAAAGCAAATGTTGATATGTTTGTTAAGCAAAGTTTTAACGCAATGAAAATTGTGTTAGTTGTGTGCAATTTGTCTATTGTTTGATTGGATACTGAAATATAGAATCATCATTTAATAATGTTGCTAGTGTTTTTAAGACCTATGAAATATCTTTTCGTTTGTACAGTGAAAAAATGATTAGTAATCTGTGTAGACTTTTTCGACAGACTTCTTTATAAAAAGATGATTTACGTTGTCAGAGAACGGTTGAACATTATTTGTTTTAATGAATTATTTTTATATTATGAACAATGTTCTTGAAGATGGAGTGTAATGTTTCCACTGCTCAGGTTTGTTGTGCGACTTGCTGTGGTCCGACCCAGATAAGGATATACAAGGGTGGGGCGAGAACGATCGAGGTGTCTCCTTCACGTTCGGATCAGATGTCGTCAATAAGTTTCTCAACAGACATGATTTGGATCTCATCTGCAGAGCACATCAGGTTTTCTCTTCATCATGCCAAATATATTGGCTTTTCAAATAGCTATTCTATATAAATTATGCATTATGTTTAACTGAAAAATTTTATTAAATGAATTATTTTTTATTTTGAACTAAACAAGGTGGTGGAAGATGGTTATGAGTTCTTTGCCAAACGTCAGCTGGTAACATTGTTTTCAGCTCCAAATTATTGTGGGGAGTTTGACAACGCGGGAGGGATGATGTCTGTTGATGAGACTCTCATGTGCTCCTTCCAGGTTTGCTCCCTCACATCTTGTTTCATTTCATTCTTTTTTCAGTATAAAATGCAAAAGAATTGAAAATTGTTGTGGTAAAAACTGAACACTTGGGCGAATGAGAGTTTAAGGAAAGCTAAATTTAAGTTAAAATGAAATGATTTTAAGGGTAAATAATTTTATGGAGTTTTGTGAAACCTAAGCTAGTCATGATAAAAGAGGTTGGCTTTGATGTGGTTTCATCCTGTCCATGGTTGAAACAAAATATTGTTATATTTCAACTAAGTGAGCTAACTGAATTTCATTAATTCAGATACTGAAACCGTCAGAAAAGAAGGCCAAGTACCAATACACAGGATTGAATGCTGATAAGAAGGATTCGCCCCTTATGAAGAAAGCTTAAAGATACAGAAGATCGTATTTTTGTTTTAATAATGAATTGTAAAATGATCATTTAGCTGATTGAAGTTTCTTCAATTATCAATTTGTTGTCTGTTTCTGTGCTCATCATTCAAGTTTAGGATAATTTTTATATATTTTTAAAATGAAATTTTTTGAACATTGAGCATAGAAATGTTACCAAAAAGATGATTGAGAATTTATCGTTTATCGTGATAGCCTGCTCTCGATTGTTGCTCCTTAATAAGCTTAATGGTTTTATTTCTACATTTGTACCTTGTTTTTATGATTTTAATCAACTGAACCAAAGCAGATCATGTAAAAATTATTGAATGTCTAACACATTGTGCATGTGGACGATTTATTACTTGCATTATTTAATCGTGCTAGAACGACTGGCATAGATTAATGTCTGTGCGATTACGTTCTATAACCAAATAAGTTAGAAATGTTTTCACACACACACATTTATATATATGAATATAATATATATGTGCATACACAAACACACACACATACATACATATATATATATATATAGTATTGAATGAATTCTACCGAATTGTTGGCATTAATCAATTTAAAGTTTCTTTTTCAATTTTCCTTACTAGAATTTTCTGGAAATTGTTCAATTTATCGAAAATTGAATTATTTTCAATATTGTTATAATTCTATTTTCAATAAATTGAACAATTTTCAAAAAATTCTAGCAAAGAAAATTGATAGGACAAACTTTAAATTGATTAATGCCAACAGATCTGTAGAATTCATACAATGCTGTATAAAATATTCCGACACACACACATACATATATATATATATGTATAGACCAACATATATATATATATATATATATATATGCATATATATATATAGACTGACAATTATATATATATATATATACATGTGTATACGTATATAATGTCTGATGGTTGTAAATTAATAATGATTCCTCCAGACACGACGAAAAGCTACATTCTATTGATTTTTACAACGCCGCCTAAAACATACAAACACCTGTCCACGCAAACACTTAAACGGAGATGCATACCAACTGACACACCCAGACAAGCCGATGTGCGGCGGTACATGACGGCACGGTCTATTTACTTCGCGGCTGCGCGTCAATTTTGAAAAACTATATTTTCAAGTTTTTGATTAAAAGTCTCGTGTATATAATATTAAATTTCTGTGTCATCAAATAAAATGTTTGTTGTGTTAATACTTACATTTTTGATGAGGCAAATTAGTAGGTAAGCACCGGACTTTAATGAAGCTATTCGTAAAAGTGCGGAACACCATGTAGCAGTATCGGCAGATATTTCATGGTTGTTCATGCATTGGCTTGCACGTGAAAACAACTCAAATGTAGTAACGTGACTTGCCAGCGGTTCTTTTTTTTTATTTGTCATCAACTCTCTCGCCTAGAAAAACATTGGTATACATTTCAAGCTGGATAATCTCGAAGGAAACAAACGACAATTTATTATCTGCAAAGGTTTGATGAATACACAATAATGTCTATACAAATATAAAAATGAAAATGCAATAAATATGTAACGACATCAAATGTTACGCTGTCTATCTTTATCAGCCCATTCGAATAACAATCTTGCCACGATATAAACAAATTTATGATAAAAAATATGTTAAGTGGTCAATAATACAATTAAAGAATTTCACGACGACTTTATGTACACGATCGAAGACTGTCCTTCCTCACATCACGCCATGAAATGTTCGTAACAATAACAACAACAGCACAGAGATGAACACGTTAATGTACATGCAGCGTTATATTACAAACAGCAACAAGCGGCCTGCAGCAGTTATTCATCTTCACGACATGCTGGAACAGGGTAGTCTCGGTGAGCCCATTTGCACAAGCACCTTGTCCAACCACTGCAGGGGACCATTCAAATGAATTTCTATCCAGCATGGCGTACTGGTCACTGCTTGACGTCTTCACGTTCGGTTTAATGGATTATATTTATAAGAATAATAATTTAATAGTTAATTCATACATACAAGTAAAAATATATAAAATACGTAAGCTCGCACAGACGCACGCACACAAACAAATATATAGAGAAAAAGAAGGGAAAAGAGTAGAAGGGACAGAAAAAAAATTACAATGCAGTATGCCCCAGCAAAGTGAAGAAAATTAAATAAAATTAAATTAAGGGTCCGGTAGAATAAAAAAGAGCGCGGAACAGGCATAACCAGGAAGTAACAAACCTGTACTCAGCTCCCCATCCTTTAACAAAACTGATGCGAATGGTACACATCCTGGTAAGCTGATACACTGACTCAAATCCTTGACTGACCGATTGAGCCAACAAAGTAGCAAACTCTTGATTGTTGAATATCTTCAGATTACACCCTGTTTTTATATTTAATTTATAAAAATGTTTTTAACAATTTTTTTTTGATGTACGATCTTTATCTATCTGTGAGCAAATGAGTCAGATGCAACATCAAAAAATTTCCAATATACAACTTTTCTCGACTTCTATTTTCTCTTGTGTCGAAAGTGAATGTCAGACATAAATTCAAATTTAGGAATACCAACAAAACAGCGACCATTGATAATTTTTAAAAACTAACAGTGATTCAAGTTTAGGAATGTAATAAATAAAACGTAAATAATAGAGTATAAAGTCTTAAGCAGCAAGATCTTGTAACATGAAAATGTTAAACACAGTGAGCAAAAATTCAAGAGGCATATTCAGAAACATTTTTTGGAGAATAGACTGATTAACTATAAAAAAAATTTGATCTGGAATATAAACACGATTAATGTGAAGAACCGATGCTATGTTTACTTCAAATTAGAACTTCATTTAATTAGATGCAAGAAGAGCGGTGTGCCTGCCTCATGTTATTTGAAATCGTTTCAAAATCTATATGTTATTTGGGATTTACTACAGCATTAAAAATGTGCAAAAGTTCAAATCTGCACGAAATAAAAATATGAGGATTCCCAAAGCCGTTTGGCCAAAAATCACACTAGCGTATTTTTAAAGAAATCGCATGATCCCGTCTACAATCTAATTCACATAATTTATTAACTTGTAAAACATAAACAAATTTGCATTAGTATACACAAAGTTGTGACGCTCTTGCATCCTATACCTTTGTATTGTCTTATTGATCAACAAGATGTTTGTAGCTGCTACATCGGTCTAGCAAGTTAAAATGTGATTGCATTTAAGATGGTTATGACACTGTAAATCAAATGAGATATCCCCAATAAATGCATGGCCGACTCTCAACAATGATGTTGAAACTGAGTTTTGTTATGCAACAAAATTCATTACAAAACTAAAATTGATAGTTCCACTAAAAATCATGCCCAAATTCCGGTGCAAAGTAGATCAAGGCGTTAGGTCAAACAATATATTGTTGAAATAATTAAACATTCAACGAGCAACGAACCAGGAGGAATTTTGCAGACTGTTGCTGGGTGCCATCCGTACCTTTGGTTGCAATTGGGACTCTGGACAAACACTGCACTGTCACTCAAACATTCTGCAAACACTTCGCCTCCAATGTAGTATAAACGGACACCCTTGCCTGTGTGTTGTACACGTACATGTGCATTTGTTCACATGAATTGTAAACGTACAATGGATTTGTTCATGCACATGTACAATGTATTGGTTTGTCGTATGTGAAATGATGTATTTCTTATGTGTATTTTAATGAGTAGTGCGTATCGTATTTGTGTGTTATGCATGTGTCAGTACCCAAAAATTACTCTAGTTTATATATTTTATTTGATTTTATTTTCCAAAAACGTTGATTTTAGAAATTTAAAATTAATTTTATATATTAAACAACATTGCACGATCAACTTTCGTAGTCCTTTGATAGTGTGGGACCTATCTAATAAGGTGCTCATCTTTCTCGGTACTTTTTTGTACGCCCTCGTTTTTTGTGTGTGCGAAAATTGTGTTGTATATGTACGGTGCGTTCAACATCAGACAGCATCCAGGTTCGAAGATAGTAAACAATCTATTCGTAAATTTATCCCAAAAAATGTCGACCCAGCGAACGTTTATTTTTTTAGCAACTCCATTATCACACAATTATCATTATGACAACCAACCAATGTGCCTTCTTGCCATCTCAATTTGGTGTGATCGATTTATGTTGGACAGTAACCCAAGACAGAACCTGCCAACGTGACAAATGTTGTTCAATATTGTTTGTTGTTTATGTTTGTTTAAGGTGACTTTCTTTATCTCATGTTACTACAACAGATGTGGAATGAACTTATGGTTATGCTAGGATATTCAATCTGATATTGTCCATTACAGTACAAATAATAATAATAATGATAAAGAATGATAAATTGAATTAAACTTTTAATCAGGTCTAATAAAAAACTAAATAATAACTGATCAAATTACAAATTTGATAGAATACATTTTTTAACAATTGATATAAATAAAAATCAAATCAAAACGAAGAGAGAAAGAGAGAGAGAGAGAGAGAGAGAGAGAGAGAGAGAGAGAGAGAGAGAGAGAAGGAAAGAGAGAACCAAACCTATCGGAGCTGGATGGATCAGTGAAGCCATCAACACTCAAAGAAGGCTGTGAAGCGTGGTATGGTTCACCTGTTTGTTATCAAAACATCATCATTAGCAGAGTCAAAGGTGGATGTACATGCATGCAAACGGTTTACTAAGTAAATATTCACGAAACCACTCACAACTATCAAGACCAGAACCATTTTTACTTTGTAATTTTTTTCCAAAATTATTATTACTATTGTTACTTAATATTATAATTATCATTGTACATAAAATGACCACACGTTTGATTGCTGTAGAAAATGATACATTCACGTCCACCATCCTATCATCATTGGATCAATTTTCTTATTGCAATTTCATGAAGTTTGATTAGCCTCGTGTGTGAAATCATTCAAAATTTAAACTATGGTAAGAACCATAATTAAGCAAAAACTTCGTTAACCTTAACATTTTTAAACAAAATTGTTGGACTTCAGTGTGTGTGATGCGTGGTTTTCACGCATATTCACATACGACGTGTGTGTTTGTCGTTGATAACTCGGATGCAAGTGCCAAAGAGAGAATGATCTTCAACCTTTTACAGTTATAATCAAAACGTCTAGCTGATAAAGTATCCAACAGTTCCAAATGAGAACAGTAAATAAAAAATTCTTATTGTGCCACACTTCTGCATAACTCATTTCCTTCCCTTCTAATTATACAACTGACCAACTTAAATCAAAACTTTCATCTGTTCAAAATAAAACCGGCAGCACTTTTTGGGCGTCTGTTTGGCGTAAACCTCCTGGGTGGTTGAGAGGTTGTACGAAGCAGTTACTTTAATTGCTCAGTCATCCAGCTTGCCTTCTTATTTACATTTTTATGTGTCTGTCTATTTCATACACTATTTTGGCTGTTTATCATTAACATCAAAATGTAAACAAATTTAATAGAAATTTAAGCATGAAATTGCGAACCGATGCGGTTTTGTTGTTCATAGTAGGAGATGCTGCACCAATAATTTGGCTCCGTGTAGTTGACCTGCTGCAACTCTGGTGATGGATACAAACAACATTTTGTTTGAAATTCATTCAAGCAACCTTCAACAAGCATTGACGTCATGTTGGCAACAAATCAACATGAGACACGTCAGAGAATTACAAATTGATAGAAACTTCTCACCATATTGTGGTGTGCTATCAACATCCATACTGTCTTGCCCATCTAATAAATTAATAAATACATTAATAAAATAATAAATAAATTAATTAATTCAATTTAATAACCTCCATTGTCACTGTTCACACCATCTCCACCATCACTCGAGCAACCTGAAAACAACCAAGAAATTATTTTATCAAATAATAAGGACAAGTGACATCAAATGTTGAAATCCTATTTGTCCATGCACTAACTGGTCGAAAAATGAAAGACCACACAAATTCAGGATGCATCATCAAATACAAGCGTAACTAACTACAAACAACAATCATGTGAACTGTTTATGGAGACCCAATGCATTTTATTATAATGATAATAAATAATGCTATTTATGGATGAAAAGACATCAGAAAGTATGGCCTCCAAAAAAAAAACTGCTTTAAATGCTTTTTACAGTAACTATAGCAAACAATTGGAAACTCCTACATATATTGTAAGCGCACACACTCACACACACGTACATACACACGCGCGCGAACACGCACATACACACGCGCGCGAACACACACATACACAAACACACAAATATGAAAGCAACTGACCAACTGCAGCTCTACTATCGCTGTCCTCAGATAAGTAACCAGGTGGAGGGGTTTCTAAATGATGTGGAAAATATGATCGTCAGTAACAGTAAGTAAGCAAGTAACTTATTTATTTATCATTACACAGTAACATTTATTCACTCATTAATATCCAGTAATAATCCATTAACATTTATTCATTCTCTCATTGACAACGTGACTCAGCAACAAGTTCACATTCAGTCATTCACTAACAGTCTTAATATAATAATTAATTCATTCATTCATTAAAATATGTAAATATTATTAATTAATTGTTAACGCATTGCTTACATTAACCATTCCATACATTTGTTGACTGGTGTAAACTGCATAGTTATTAATTGACCATGTAGTAAACAGAAAGTGCAATTTCATTTTGCCAATCTCATCTAAACAACATGCAATAAATTTGTGGAAAACAAATGGACAAACAAAAAAAATGAATGAACAAACAAAAAACGAATGAACAAACAAACAAACAAATAAGCAAACAAACAAACAAATGAATGAACAAACAAATGATTGGACAGGCAAACAAACAAATGAACGAAAAACAAACGAATGAACAAACAAACAAACCAGGTAGATGGAAATTGGCATCAACACTTTTAGGATTGAGGTTATTGATTCTTGATGGATAGTCATCATTGAAGTTTGGTGATTTGATGGAGTCCAGTGGAATCTTTGGCACCAAAACTGGTGGCAGAACTGAAAGTGGTCACGGTGGTAGACAGCGAACATCCAATTATTATAAAGAATGAGGAACGGTGGTCGCAGAGAGAAAACATTCATTAAATAACCAAACAGTTTATCATTAACGCAAAAATCTAACACCAACACTAAGTGGTAAAAGTGATATTGAGATGAGAAGCATAAGTTTCAAGGAGAGACCAAACAACCGACCGAGCAACTGGTCAACCAACCAACCAAACAACCAACCAATGAAAACATCTTACCAGGAGGTTCAACTCGCACATAATGATATGGATTCACACAGACTTCTTCTTTTTTAAGATGGAATGCATATTCGCAGTTCTCAATGGCTTGAAGTTCATGATGGTTCTTGAGGTCGGGCCACCTCCAGAGGCAGCAGTATATCATGTGTGGCAGGCCCTTCTTCTGAGACACTTGCAAGCGGCCATCCAATGATCTGCAGATATATAATTTAACTTAAATTACAACGTTTCTTAGAAGCAATTAATACCAGCTTTCATTTGAACGTAATTGTTCATAATAGTTGACGCATTATATACTGCAGCGGTTCTCAACCTGTGGTTCGCGGACATTTGCCTGGTGGTCTGCGAGAAAGTGTGTGAATGTAAGTTTATTTAATAAAAAATAAAAAAGATGAACTCCGATTGAGTCTTTCGAGCATTACGCCTCGTTTGGGATAAGATATGCTCAACTGTGCAAGCTCAAGGCTCACACTAGAATTAAATGTAGCATTATTTCTAATGTAAGCTTGGCACGTTAAAAACCACCTGTTTATTATTATTCATTACTGTTGGCAAGTGACATTTGCTCATTGTAAAAGATGCAATTACAATTTGTTTCATATTTGACATAAAAATTGATGATACGCCGTGAGATACGCTGTATGCCAACATCAATGTAAAACGAACATTATACTTTTTAATTTGAAGTTAAAACATTTATTAAGATATAACAATAACAAGACACGTTTAGACGACATTTTCCCTGAGATCGGGGGTTGCCGTTTGGCCACCTATGATGAAACCAAAATACCCCTAGACGCCATTCACATCTGTCACTCGCCCTAACCCTAATCGCTTTCACTCTGTCCTTCTCCATCTGCTCTCTCCATCCCAATCGCGGACGACCCCTTCCTATCACTCCTTCAACCTCAAACTCCAACGCTGGCCTGATCCTTACCCTTTCATCCCTTCTCAACACATGTCCATACCACCACAATCTCGATCTCCTTATCAATATCACAATGTCCTCATTCAGTCCCAACATCAACATCAGCTCTGTACTATTCCTCCTATCCTTCACTTTAACCCCACACATCATCCTCACCATAGCTCTTTCAGCCCTCTGCAGTACACTTTTCTCCTCTCTCCTCAACACCCAAGTTTCACCACCATATACCATCGCTGCTCTCACACATGCTTTATATACCCTCCCTTTCATCTTCACTGACCATTTCTTTCCACACAATACCCCACCCAGTTTCCTAAATTTCATCCATCCCATTAAGATATATAATAAATAATTTTAAATAACAATTTTAATACATCTATAATCAAGTGTAGTAAATGTAGTTCTCTAAGTCTAATAGTTACACTAAGAACGATGCTCATTGTAATATGAAATAATAATTAATAAATTTCAAGTGGGCTAGTAGCAAAATTTTAAGTAGTGGTCCGCGGCCGAGAAACACATTTTTTAAGTGGTCCTTGAATGTCAAAAGGTTGAGAAGCACTGATATACAGCCTGTATATTTAATTCAGCTGCTTAAATATTGTTGAATCTGAGATGAATAATTGCATTCATTTCATATTTAATGACAACTTTAATTATCATCTTTTAATCAGACCATCAACTTTAAATTTTTGTAAGCCGTAAGCACAATAACAACTATGAATAACTCATGAAAAAATCTTGCCTCATTAAAAAATTAGTAGTGAAAAATATGATTACATTTCAACATCTTAATATAAATGAGCCTTGATTCTAACCCTTGAACAAACAAGTATTTAACTGAAAAGAAAAAACAAATTTTTGCTTAAAAAATGTATATGAACTTATTTTTGTACAGTAGAAACATTATACAAAATTATACTTTAACAATTCACTTTCTTACTGTAACTGACAAGCAGCAATTCCTTTCCCACATACAAAAAAACCCACAACAATTCACATAATTATTGACAAACAACAATTCACTTTCTCATTTTAGATTAAAAAACAATAATTCATTCATTGTTATGTGATGTTTACTCTGAAACAGCATATATGTGAACATCTACTTTTAATAATAACTGATTAAACTGAATAATAGAATAATCCGGTTGTACTTGTACGAATAAACAGATTGCACTGGAATAAACACACTGGAATAAACACGTCCAAAGATGTCAGATAATTTTGTTGAAAATGTTGCTTGGTCTTGTTCATTTATAGGTTCTAAATTGCAGATAGGAAATGAAGTCATTGCTTGCAGAAAGAAACACATATTTATTTCAAATGTACCCACATGTCAATTAAACATAATCTATGTAACATATATATATATATATATATATATATATATATATATATATATATATATATATATATATATATATAAATATACTGCATTATATTAGTAATAAATCTACATTTTCAACATGACGAAAATATTTTTGCATAAACAGAGGTAATTTAATTTTTATCAGCAAATGAATAGATTAAATGGTTAATTGAGATATTATGTGATTTGTCTTTTACACCCCAAGTAGATCGTTTGCTTTCCATGTTGATTTAAAAGTGATTACGGTGCCCGTACAAAACAATATTGTCTTGTTCTGTCCCAGGAATTCAGCTGTTTGATGTAATTTTCTTTTGGTTGACATCAAATAAAATTTTTTGTTGTGTTTTTGCATTTGGTCTTCCTTAATAAAAACTTGCAATTTATGAAAAAATTATCTGTCTGACTATTCAATTACCCCAGGCCCCTCTGCATAATTGAGTTATTGTTAATTATACTGTTACACATGAAAAAAATAAACTTTACATTTCATTTGCATTCATCTCATAAAATAATTTATAATATAATGTTGACTTTAGTCTTTCTTTGGTTTTAATTTAATGCACATAAGGTGATGCAAGTGTTGTTTGTTGTAGTATAAACAAAATCAATCAATCTTCGTTTAGCATCCAGAGACCCAGTTTCCCTAGGTAGGATATTGTTTTATTTGCCATCAACTTTTTGCACCAAACAAGTTTTATTTGTATTATATTATACTTTATTATTTATTATATTATATATTATATTATACACAGACTCCTTGTCCAGCTTAATATCAATAGACCATCATAAGCCCAGCAATCCATTAATAATAGAAATACAAAACTTAATAAATAAGACTATAGTAAGAGATAAAAATAAAATAAAATTGGTTTGGATTCCAAGTCATATAGGCATATGCAGGAACGAAAAAGCGGATAGAGCGGCAAGTATGGCACATTCTCTCCCAGTATAGAATTTACCAATTCCATATAACGACATCAAAATAATAGTCAACCAATATATTATATCTTTATGGCAACATGAATGGAATAGCAGCAACAGATTCCTTAAAAAAACAACCCCGAAAATTGATCTAAAAGGTCCAAAAAGAATGCTACTAAAAAGGAGATTCCAAACAATCTTGAAAAGAATACAAATCGGCCATACAAAAATGACACTCATGGATCCTTGAGAAAAAAAACCTCCAATCTGTGACATCTGTGGAATCAAACTAACAATTTCCCAAATAATCAGAGAATATAACAAAGAATAGAACATAATATATAAATAAACCAACAAATATAGAAGAAATCTTTATCAATAATTCAAATACATACAATTTAATGGCTTTTATCATAAATACAAAATTGATTGACAGATTGTGAATGAAAAAACAGGTACAGCCATAGTAAGAACAAAAAAAAATTAGGAGAAGACAAAATGATAGCCAATTTGTGCTGAAACGTTGGAAATCTGCACAAAACAAACAAAATTATTTGCACAACTTTGTTTGACTTTGTCAAAAAAAAGCAAAAAATAATTTAATAATTTAGCCAGGAATAGGGAAGTAAACTGTAAAAGAAAAGTGAAGTTTTACTACCACTTTTACCAAAAAATTTAAAAAAAAAGTATAAATAAAATTTATGCTTATTGATATTTAATGACATTATTATACAAATCATAAAATATAAAATAAAATAAACAAGATAATGAATAATTAAAAATATAAAATTGAAAAAAATGTTTAGAAGGTACCTGGGAATGGTGACGCACTTGGTGTCACAATCTTCCGACGTGATGGCCTTTACCAATTCATCCAACCCCGAGCCCTTCTTCAACTTTTTAACCAAACTTTTTATGGCCTTCTCATCCCAAACTCTGTTCTCTTCGTCATTTTTCATGAGCTCCATCAACTTTTTGACGGAAGGTGAAGTGTTAAAAAATATTCCAGTCATTTTTGGAATTTGAAAGAAAAATGTTCAAACAAATTGAATTACAAGACAAACGGCGAATTTAAATCGAACGAACGAACAGAAGTCGAACGGTTCGCAAAACAAACTAGACAGTCTCAACCGAGATTATCGTTCTAAGCAGTCAAGTCCAGACACCGTGTTGACATTCTACGATAATTTCTCGCAGTCAAATAAAACAATTCCAAAGCCAGAATTATCAAAACAGGAAAGTTCGACGTATAGTGCAAACGCAAACTGCGCTCCGACTTGAAGCCATCAACAACCAATCCAAACACGGTAAAAATTTTATTGGTGTAAAAAAATTTATCTAAAATTCTGTATAACTTTTTAACTGTAAAAACAAATTAAAACATGATGACAACAATAAATAACCTAACATCACCGTAAGAATATAGAATGAGAATAAAAATAATTTCAACTACTAACACACCAGCACATAAAAACAACAAATCTGTGAAATATCTGTCAAAAGCAATAAAACAATATCGTATCAACAATTAACTTGAATGTTCTTTGACAACATCACATCTTTTATCTGCAATGTCTTCAACTCTTGGCTACCTCCTCAACTGCTTCATTGCGACTGATTTTGTGGGGTATCACATCAGAATAAGAAATCTTGAAGACATCTTTCAGATTGTGAACCACACGGAAAGCATCCTGGCCTTCTTCCTCACAACATTTATCAGCACTGGCCATCTTTACCAAAACCACCAGCAACCCAGCTGCTGAACTGGCAGTAGCCTCTGTGCAACAAAATATCAATAAAATTATTTTATTAATCTAGATTGTTATCCCAAATAATGCACAAGTTGACAAAGAGTGCAGAACCAAAAAAAGAACGAAACGCTGCCATCGAACATGAAAAAATTGCTAACAGTTGAACCACATTAAATCACAAAAATTGCAAAAAATTCATTTGGAAATAAATGTAACATCTATCTAACCATGAGGAGATGTAGTAATAAAGAGAACATCTGATGGCGACAATTGAATCTTGTCTGCCAATTTCACATAAGATTCTTTGACAGAACGTGGATCTTCACCCAGACTCTCAACTGTCACATCACTCTGCCATTGTAAACAGTCACCATATATATGAAAATGAAACAGTTTCTGCCATCCATGAGTCACACAATACAAACAAAATGAATAAAAGAAATAAACCAAACAAATAATGCTACCTCAGATACCCCTCCACTGATCAGCAGTGATTTAATTACATCACACGAGCATGGGGCCAGCACCACAACCTTCACCTTTTTTTCCGCCCACTGTTTAATGGAGCTATGCACATCCTCATGGAATCTAAATTGAACAAATTACAAAATGACCTGATCACGAATTTTTTTTAAAATTTTGAACAATTCAATTAAATAACACACTCGACGGTCAATTCCAATCTAAATTAATCAAAATTACAAAATGATACCAATCATGAATTTTTTTAAAATTTTGAATAATTCAAATAACATACTCAACAGCCAACTCCTTTTTTTCAATAGCCTTCTTCACCAACAATGCCACAACCACATTAATTTTATGATGGTGATCACATGATTTGCCCAACACAGTCAAGAAATTATCCACAACAGCTTTCAGAATCTCATCTTCGCCACTTTCTGGAATTGCAACCAGACCCTCTCCAGTCTATGAAAATTTATCAAATACGGTAAAAAAAACATATTAATCAGTTCTAGTAAATAAAATATGGGGCATAAAATATAAAATAAATAATATAATTATCTGTCATTGGTGATGAGCTGACCAGAAAATCAAAAGTGAATGTGGAATGGGAATAATTTGCAAATTTAGTTTTGTATAGAATGTAGTGTAGAGGTAAACTACAGCATAGAATAAATATTCCAAAACCAATAGAATAATTAATTTTCATTCAAGACTGGTGAACTATTTTTATGAAACAAAACCAAGGATCTGATATAACCAAATTATGCAACTACTAATAAACAATCCGACGACAAACTATAATATAGCAGTTGATTAATTTAGTAAATTATTTAAAAAAAGTGAATAAAAGAAAAATCAAATCAGGTACCTCCTTTCTGAAAGAATCGACAAACGATTTTATTTCATCCTTTTCGAAGTTTTCCTTCAGATACTCGGACACATTGCCCTTCACGTAATCATGGATTTGATCCTGTAAAACAAAAAAAAGAAAAAATCTGGGAGCGTGCAAATTATTAAAATATAATTTCCGATCTGATTTTCATTTCGTAGCTTGCTTATCTCCATGGAAAATTACCGGGAATATTTGATAGAGATAACTAACTTTAACATGATTGAAGGCGACCATAACATCGGCAAATTCAAGAACGACAGCTTTAACGTGGTCATAGACAAAATCGCCGGAGGTGGACGATCTCTTTCTGCTCGTTTTGTCCATTTTTGATCTAAATTCGTTCCGGAAAATTACCAAATGGGTCGCGATGCAAGGCAAACCGCAACATTAAATTTTAGAATGTTCTACGGCGACCCAGATTCTTGTCAGCCAATCACGTCGCTGCTCCACATATTGCACCGAATGCCACGATTGGCTGGATTTTTAATTAAGAAATTTGCATCGCAATAGTATAGCGACGCACATTGCGATGCGATGAAAGTTTTCCCTGGTTGTGCGATGAAAATTGGTTGGAGGTCTGTGGAATCTTCGATATAATTTTCAAACAAGAACATATTAGCAATTAATAATAACTCAAAATTGAAATTGTTTTAACTTCCATTCATTATACAATTGACCTTTAGAAAAAGTGGTAGCAAGAACTTAGGTAGCTGGGTGGGTATTTTAAGAATATGGCTAGAACCTTATATATATATACATATATTTCTCAAAAAAGAGGGGTAAACTAAAAAGCAACCAAATGCTTGTAGGAAAGTCACCCTATCCAAATGAAATCAAAATTGATCAACATAAATTAAAGATTAAATTAGTTCAACAAAAATCAAAGATTAAATTAGTTCGAAATAAAAGATACATGGGGAGTATATTCTTTAGTTATTACGATTGTTTCCATTATTGTTAATAATATTTAATGTAAAATAATCAAAACGTAATTACCTATATATACGCATTCTATCATTCACACATACTCACACACATACATGCACATAACACATAGGATACATAGAAAAAAAACAACATAATTTTATATAGTCGATAATAACAAACACTTCCTAATTCAAGAAAATAGTATTTTTCTGAATCAGGTAGCGTTTAATTTTAGATTTAAACAAATGCAAGTGACTGAGAGCTTTAATCTCAAGTGGAATCACCGTGTCCCAGACCTTCGGTCCTGTTAGTTTCTCTAGATAAATGTACTTCTAACTAGTTAATACATGATGACCTTTTAGTATAAACGGCTACTAATGCAAATATCCATCATTTTTTATCTGGAATGAATAAGCGTTTTTAAAATACAAACGGTACTGTTCCGGTACTTGAAACTCCCAAAAAAATATTGCACACATTTTTTGAACAAAGCTGGACGTGTGTATCCAAGCCAGGATCAGGCGAACCCGCATTAATTTTGTTTGCCTACGCAGCGCAGGCAGACCTGAGCAAACACCGAAGCATGTGTATAAGGCCTTTAAATAGAAAGTACCTTATTCATTTTCATGGCCACGTGTTACTTCATATTGTTAATCAGTTTTGCATTTGTCGATATGAATTAAAAAAACTAAATAATTGCTTTTTTAGTTGTTTTGATACTTTGTAAAATAAAACAACATCCAACTGGTTGACGAGAAAAAATTTCATTTACAGTTTTATGTAAAATGTGGCAGCTGTAAGTGTAAGGACCACACATCAAAACTTTTCCAATTCCTCATTATTTATTTTGGACCGCAATCATTTTGTCTCCCAGAAGATCGCACAACCAGGCATTAGTGATTTATACATTAATTACATTCCTCAGATGTCTTTAAAATTGTAAATACCTAAATTTAAACTTTTTCCTTTGCGTTTTTTCAACCGGCTCTCGGATCCGGAGATCGTGGCATCGTGCTCGGGCAAGTAGGAGTACGAGTAGTTACTATACGATGTACCTACATTACATAGTATATTTTTATTATCATTGATATGTCTATTGTCGGTTATTATGATTAATTTGGTTATACTCTAACCTTACTGAATTTGATTGCAAGTTGAACCGATACAAGAATAGAAAGTCGTAAATTTAGTTAAATTTAATAAAAAGCCAAAGACCTAATATGCATCCCTGAAATTAACCAACTTCCAAGAAGTCACAAATATCAAAACCATCCGTAAAAATGTATTTAATTAATCAATTAATTTAACTTGATGAATTAATTTAATGAATTAGCATACAAATGAAAAACAATTCGAAGTTAAAAATAAATTGAAAAACCTTTAACTGCTTGAAGTCAGTTGATTGATAAATTGTAAATTAAACAGCTGTTTTCAAGTTATCGAGTCGGTGATGACCTTGCTAAGTGATGTAAGTTAATAAATAAAACACATTTGTGACTTTGTGACACAGCGAGCCATTTGCTTTTGCTATCTGCACGTAACCAAACGGTTGAGTGAACTTAAAAATTAAATAAATTTAACGAATTAAATGTTTAAGCATACACTGATCAGATTGGCAGTCACAATCACAAAAACCACTAGTAGTTTTATGAGTGTTGTTGTAAGTAAGTTTTAAAATGAGATGCTTATCGTGGATACTGGCAGAGTGTCAGTGTCAGACGAAAAATTAAGCTGATTTATAAAGTTGAAATGCTTTGAAAATCTTTTGACGTGTTGCATGCAGCCTGATTTGCTTTAAATTTAAAGTAATGCATTTGCCTAGCTAGCCTGAGCCGTGTTCTCGCAAGCAGTAAATAGTTGTGCTGTTTATATAATATGGTAGAAAAACCAAACCAAGTTTTCCACTTGTAAATGGAAACAAAAAGATTTATTCGAAAAAACGATAACTGACACGTCCAAACTGTTTTATTGGAATAATATGCCTCATAGTTTGTTATCAGCAGTTTGGTTAAGTTTGCTGGAAGGTCTGTGCCGTATGAATGATGGAAAACTTTGGTGTTCCCTCTTCAAATATTTTGCACCGTCTCATTCCAACTGCCGGCAACCATATTTAAAAAAAAAATAGAAAAATATTACAATAAGGTTCGCCGAATTTGCCGAATTGGCCACAAGTTTAATATGAATTTCAATACAGATATTATAATATTACAAAACTCTTTTTTATTCTTTATTAAACAACGGTTTACATGTTTTCAAAATAATATTTTTAGATATTTCAAATTTATTAATTAATACCATGTCGTATTATGTCGTATTTAATTATTATTTTTTATTTTTATCGATTTCATTTGCTTCTTCTTCGATTAAATTGTTTTAGTTAGATGCTTCCAATGTTGAGTTTAGACCTATAGAGGAAACAGGGTTATATCCTCCCATGCAAATGAGCCAGATGAGACCAATCATTTATGGTGCACGCGGTGAAGAGGCAGTTGAGATTGTACTGAAGTAATATTTTTTCGGAAGTATCTGATGAACTGTAAAATTGTGCTGCCCGCGTTCAATGCACAATTATATCAGAGCATGTTTGTTTGTCGGTGCGTGACATTGCTGCCATAAATTATCACCATCAACAACAATCATTATATCAACAGTAAACAAAATGAATACGTTTGCAACAACAACACAAAATGAATACGTTAGCCACAACAACAACAACAACAACACAACAACAACAACACAACAACAACACAACAACAACAACAACAACACAACAACAACAACACCACAACAACAAAACAACAACAACACAACAACAACAACAAAACAATGTTAGGAACAGTGACACTAACAACATCACTGACAACGGCAACAATGTCATCATCATTATAATTACCATCATCATCACATAGTCATCATCATAACCATCATCGTCACATCACTATTCAACCCATTTTTAAAACCGCTAAAATATAAGAAATTCAAGTTAGATGATTGACTACCGAACTTTTAAACTATCAATAGAATTGAAATCTAACAAGTTTAAAATCGATTTTTGTAATAAACTTGCTTGATAAATCTATGTTACGTAATGTAACTTTGTGTAATGTAATGTAACGTGACTAACAAATAATAAATAAATTTAAATTTAAAGATTAAAATTCAGAAGATGATGGAGTATGTAGCTGAAGAAAAATTTATTTGTAGGATATCAGAGGGTTCGTGGGTTAATTCAACATGCGGCTAAACAATAACACAACATGGGTCTAATCTCTGAAAATGAATCATACGCTTATATCGTATATTTCACAATTTTCTGTAGAATGTTTTCAATTTTTATGAGTCTTTTTGAGAAATAAACTTTGTGGAATAATTTTATAAATGTGAGTAAATTATTTTTAGTAGCTACCCAGCCACTAGCCGAGGTATTTTTTAGTGTGGCTGAATAGTTTTTAAGCGATGCTCCGTCATATTTATTTGTGCGAAACCGCCTCTGGGGAGTTAATTTTAAATTTATGATGATGCCATGCTGTATATTTTTAAAAAATTTAATGGACATTCTGTTTGATGGCATGTAAATTTTATACTATCCAGTTAAAAATGTTTGAAATATATGAATGGTGCCCTGTTGGACGAAGTTTGTTTTGAAAGAGTAAATTTTGTTGAGCTTATTGTCCGTGCGTGTTAGTTTATTTGTCCAATCATGAACATTCCATTTTATTCCATTCCATTCAATACATAATTCAACGATGAATTATCGACAGATGGCTGCTATTTCACGTTTCCCGACACGTTCATGTTCACCAGCATGTTCATGCTGACTAAGGTGTTCGTGTTCTCTATCAAGTTCACGTTCACTATCCTGTTCATGTGCACCAACATGTTCATGTTACTCAAAGTGTTTATGTTCACCAACATGTATACGTGCTCATTTTGTCTACCAAGTTCATGTTCACCTACATGTATACGTTCTGTTCTCCAATATGTTCATGTTCACCAATAATATTTCTATTCATGTTCTCTATGAAGTTCATGTTCACCAGCACCTGTTCATCGTTCATGAGATGCACCGAGGCAACGGAGGATGACAATGATGAAACAAACGAATAGGTTCAGAATTAAAGTGTTTGTATTTGACTTGTGGTGACCTGGTTCGAACGCCAATAGAGTCATAATTAGCGCACGCTTCAACGTGTGGATGTCTCATTTGCAAGGGTGCAAATGAGCGCGGGTTTAATTGAAGGGGGAGAGGCACCGCTGACCACTTTAAACTGAAATCCTTTTTATATTGATTGATTGATTGATTGATTGATTGATTGGTTGATTGATTGATTGATTGATTGATTGATTGATTGATTGATTGATTGATTGATTGATTGATTGATTGATTGATTGATTGA